CCATGGCAGGGGGTCGGACTAGATGATCTGCTCAGGTCCCTTCCGACCCTAGAAACTATGAAACTATAAAACTGCCCCCTCCAGCATCTTGTCTGGGGCCCTGAGGCTTGCGCTGGACTGGGCAGAGCAGCTGCTGATGCTTTAGCCCTCCCTGCCTCGAACAGGCTTTGGGGTTGCCTTCTGGGGCCGCGTCCACGCACTGTGCTCCCCAGGGCTGAGGCCTGTGTGCGACAGGCCTACAAGTGACATGCTGTCCTCCCCCACCCCCCACGGACGGCCCTTCGCCCACCAGCTCCTGCCAGAGCGAGCCCACCTGGCACTGGCTCGGCTGGGAGCTGCGGCATGGGCAGTCTGAGCTGCTAGGAACTAAAGAGTTGCCAGGGACGGGGACGGGGTTGGGCCCTCCATCCGTCTTGCCCAGGCTCCTGTCCCCCACGGCAGTGGAGAGCATCTGCTAAGTGGGGAGTGAATGGGTCTGAGCAGGGTTTTCCCCTGTTCCTCTCTCCCTTGCAGCCTCCAGCAGTGCAGGTCCAGGCAGTACTTGTGCCCCTCGCTCCCTGGTCAATAGTGCGTGTCCAGCCCCTTCTCCAGTCCTGCTGCACAAGTCAGGCCCCAGGCGTGCAACCCACCGCACGTGACACAAGTGCCCTGCCCTGCTGGGCTCCCTGCCCCAGATCCCCCTTGCTCGCCAGTCAGTGCCTGTCCTGCTGCCCCCAGCCCCAGGGCTGGGACTGTGCTCCTACTGGACTCTGCTCCAGCCATGGCCACGGGGGCTGGGGACACGCCGTGGCTGGGATGGGTGTAGGCCCGTGGAGCTGTGGCAGAGCGTGCTGGGCCCTGGCCCGTGGGCTGTCACAGGGCCTTGCCCCGGTGCTCCCCGGGGGCTGATCTGGAGCGGGGTGGAAGGGCACAAGGCCGGCCAGTCTTGGGCCCCCGGGTCCTGGTGCCTCAAGGCAGCGTCGTGTGCCTGTGTGCCAGGCAGCGTGGCTGGGCCAGGGCCCAGACCTGACCCTGCTCCTGCTGCCTGGGATGCTGGCCTCAGACCAGCCGGGAGCAGGGGGGAGAAGTGCTGGGGCAAGGGGGCACCAGGGACCCAGGCTGTGCCGTGGCTGCTTGGAAGCACGTGGAGCCGGGCTGGGACCTCCCCAGGGCACCCGGTGCAGCCACTGCCTCGGCCTGCCCGTGCCTCAGTTTCCTGACTGGCAGCCAGGGCCATGTGTCTATATGTGTGTGTGCGTGTAGGAGTGTGCATGTCTCTAGGTGTCTGTGTGTGTGTGTCCATGTACATAGGTGTGCACTTGTTCATCCTTCCCCAAGTGCTGTAGGAGCACTGGTGTGGTGCCTGGGGAAGGACAAGCTTGCAGGCACACGTGCGCGCTCGCATGTGTACACACACAGACAAGCATGAAGACATATGCACACTCAGACATGCACACAAAGACACACGTGCGCACTCAGACACAGGCACACACACAGACATGTACATGTATGGGTACAGACGTGCACACGGACATGCATGCACACATGCATGAGCACACAGATGTGCACATGGACATGTATGCACATGCATGGACATACATTTGCACACAGACATGCACCCATGAACAAGCATGTGCACATGCATGGGCGCACAGACACATGCACACATGGGCACTCTGATGTACATGGGCACACAGATGTGTGCACAGACACACCCGCACATGGGCGCACACATGGACATGCACATGTCCACTCAGATGTGCACACAGACATGCATGTGCACTCAGACACATGTGCACGCATGCACACACACGCACCCACCTGCAGCCAGCTGAAGCTTCCCCCCACAGCTCCCGGCTCGGTTGCACCCCAGCCTGCGGAGCCTGCAGCTCCCTCCTGCCTGTGTCTGCCCTGGCGGTACCTTCCCCGGCCCCTCCTGTGGGCAGATGCTGCCCTGAACCCGGACACGGGCCCCCTGGCCCGGCCCCCTCGGCTGCCCCCCGGTTCCAGGGGTCGGGCTGCGGTCCTGGGGGAGCAGGGACCCCCTGTCCTGAACTTCCCTCCGTGCTCAGACCCCGCCTCCTGCCCATCCCTGGAGCTGCGATGGGGGTTGCCCTGCTCTCCTGTGCCCCCTCATTCCTGGCACCCACGCCTCGGCACAGCCCCCACGAGGGTGCCTGGCTGCAGTTCCCCCACCGCCCCCTGCCCAGGGTCCCACTGACCAGCTCCTGCACCCACTTGCCACACACCCGCTGAGCCCCGGGGGTCAGGGGTCTGCGTGGAGGCCTCTGCGCCTGTGGACAGAGCCTGGGAGCTGCCCCGGGCTGCTCAGACCCCCCCCATGGACCACGTGAGACCCTCCAGCCTTATCTCCCCCTGCAGCCCTGGCACCCACCCATGGCAGCTGGCCCAGGCGGGGGGTGGAAGGGAGGCTCCTGGCTCCATCGCTTGCTCACTCGGGCCCAGGACAGCGAGGACAGCTCCGGGCTGCGCTGGCGTGGCCGCTCGGCCAGGTAAGGGGGCCGTGTCCCTGCCGGGGACGGGCCCTGGGGCCTGGGCCCTCGCTCCCTGGTGCTCTAGGGGTGGCAGGAGCAGGGCACGGGGGTCACTCAGCTGCTCAGGCCATGGGCTGCAGGGGTTTGGGGGCCCTGCCGTGGGGACTCCTGCCCATGCTCCTCCCCGAGGGTCTGCCTTCCCCAGCAGTGCAAGCCCCCTCGCAGGCCACACGTCCTGGTGCCCCGCGTCCCCCCCGGGCCCTGCGGGTGCGGTGCCGGACTCGGCGTATCGCTGCGTCCTTGCGGTTTCTGTGTGCTGCTGTGCTAAGCTCTGCGTGGCGTGGCCCACGTTATCAGGCTCTGGCAGCTGGAAGGGGATGCTGCCGCCGGGGCCTGGGCAGATGCGCGGGGAGCTGCAGACTCCCCGTTGCGGGGGGTTGAGGAGAGGTTGCACAGACCCTGGCCAGGGGTGGTCCGGGTGCAGCGATGCCCGTGCTCTGCCGTGCAGATGTCCCCGGCTTCCGGGCTTGGCTGGTTGCTCCCACCCTTGCACCCTTTTTCTTTTCCTGGTGTCAGGGAGTTTCTGAGCCTCCCCAGAGGCACTGGGGGTTGCAGCAGCCCAGGCTGGGACTTGCACCAGGCTGTGCCCAGGCCAGGCCGGAGGGTCCTGGCCCTTTGCTCAGGGTCAGACCGGCGCCAGATTTGGGGTCAGGAAGGAATTTTAGCCCCGGGTCAGATCGGTGCAGCCCGGGGGTTTTGCCTTCCTCTGTCAAAGGGGGCACAGTCTCTACCCAGGATCTCTTGAGCACAGGGCGGGGAGCAGAAAGCAGAGCAGCAGATGGGCCAGGAGCACAGGGCAAGGAGCAGAAAGCAGAGCAGCTGTTGGTGCCAACGTGGCATGGGAAAGCAGAGCAGACAGCGCAGTGGCCCCGAGGGCCGACCCTGCGGGAACGGCCCCGAGAAGCCTGGTCCTGAGTGTGCGGCGCGTGGGGGACGCACCGTTTCGTGCGGAGTAATGGGCCGACCCGTCTTGTCTTTCAGCACCATGCCCTGGCCGTGGCTTTTCTTCCTCCTCCTCCTCTCCCTCCTGGCTGGGAAGAGCCTGGGAGATGCTGAGTACGACACCCCCAAGGATTTCCAGGCTGTCTACATGGGCGCGAAGAACGACGTCCATGAGGTCCCCGCCGTCGCCAAGCCCGGCATTTCTGAAATGATCTTCCTGCGCACCAGCATCACGGCCGTGAGGGAAGGGGCTTTCAGGAACATGCCCGACCTGCTCAAAATCTTGTTCGTCAACACAAAGGTGCAGACCGTGGAGGTGGGAGCCTTTGATAAGCTGGGGAAGCTGCAGGAGCTGGAGATCTCTGGGGCCACGCTGGGGGACGTGCCCGCGGGGGTCTTCAGGCAGCTGGCGAGCCTGTGGAGTCTGGACCTGCGGGACAGCCGGGTGCAGCAGATCCCCAAGGGGCTGTTTGACGACTTGGGGAGCCTGGGCGATCTCTTCTTGCACAACAATGAAATCTCTTCTCTCCCGCCGGGCATCTTCGACGCTCTGGCCAAGCTCACCTTGCTGCACCTGGCGAGAAACAAGCTCCAGGCACTGCCCCCGGACGCCTTTGCCAAGCTCCCTCGGCTCCGGGTTCTCCGGCTCTTCGAGAACGGGCTGCAGGAGCTGCCGGACGGGATGCTGGACAACCAGGCAGAGCTCAAGGAGCTCAGTCTGAGCAAGAACAAGATCAAGGTGCTGCCCTCCAGGCTCCTGGAGAAGCTGTCGCTGCTGGAGAAGCTCTTCCTGGATGGGAACCAGCTCGAGAGTCTTCCCAGCGAGGCTTTCTCTGGTCTGGGCAACCTGCGGCAGCTGAGGCTGGGGTCTAACCAGCTCGGTGTGCTCCCGGAGCGCTTGTTTGGGGCCATGCCGCAGCTCCGAGAGCTGGACCTGGGCAGCAACAAGTTGAGGTCTCTGCCCCACGGGATCTTTGCCAACCTCCCTTCTCTCACCAAACTCGTCTTGTCCCACAACCAGCTGGAGGCCCTGCCGCAGGCCACGTTTGCCGGGCTGGCTGCACTCACGGAGCTCAGCCTGGATGCCAACAAGCTCTCCTCCCTGGACCACGGGGACCTGGCCTCCCTGCCCCAGCTGCGCACGCTCAGCATGCGCAAGAACCAGCTGCAGAGCGTTCCCGCGGGGCTCCTGCAGGCCCTGGGGCAGCTGCGTGCCGTGTACCTGAGCGGGAACCCATGGCGCTGTGACTGTCACCTGCGTGGCCTGCACAGCTGGATGCAAGCCAACAAGGACAAGGTGAAGGAGGTGTCGCAAGTGCGGTGTGAAAGCCCCGACACGCTGCAAGGGGAAGTCATCGACTTGCTGGGAGAAGACCAGCTCGTCTGCTTGAGCACGGTGCCCGGATCCACGGCCCCGACCACGTTGTCTTCATCTACCTCTGTCCCCGTGTCTCTGGCACCATCCACAGCTGCAACCACCACGATGCACTCCACCACCATGCTGGAGCCCCCCACCACGGCAGCACCCACCACCGCGGAGCCCCCCACCACATTGCCACCAACCACAGCAGCACCCACCACAGCAGAGCCCCCCACCACGTTGGCACCCACCAC